CGCATGCATGGGAGCAGGAAACCAAATTTTGAAAAGGCAGGTCCAGGCGCAGGGCTCTTGGGAGATCTCAGAGTGCCACCTCAATCCCTTCCAAGGGCAGGCAGCTTCCCCGCCACCTACGGCCTCCACTAGGCCCCACTCCTCTCAGCACAGCCATTCCTGAAACTGAGACCCTCCCCACGTGTGAACTCTTCAGGGACACCGTCAACCACACACACACTTAAGAAGCCACAGCTCTGTCCTAAGGACCAGACCCACAAGGGACACACACACAATGAGGGGAAATACTGACACATTATGGCTGTTCCCAGGCTGACAGAGTGATGCTGTGGTTCAGACATGGAAGAGAAAGTGTATACAACTGCAGACAGCACCAACCACAGACCCAGGGCAGAGAACGTGTTCCTCTACTGTAAGGAAACAAAGACTATTTCACCCTTTCCTGGTAAGTCATACACTGCTGATCTTAGAGAAAAGGAAGATGTACACTCCACACAGGAACATCATACCCAGGATACAGAATCTGTTTATCCAGGACTATGTCACTGTATACAATGAACCATGCAAATACTAAGGTAACAAACTGAGAAAAATGGATGGCATTTCAGGTGAATGGCATTTCACAGTGAGACCTCAGTGCTCTGAGAACGCCACCCCTCACCCTTCCCTACGCAATCTTAAAAAGCGTGGTGTGTGTGTTGACATGTCAAGGAACACATACATACTGGGGTAAGAAGACAACTGGTGGAAATCGGTTCCTTCTACCATGTAGCTTTCAGAGACCAAACTCAGGCTGTCAGGCTTGGCAGCAAGCACCCTGCCTGCTGGCTAAAGCCATCTTGCCATGGCCCTTCCTGTTTCTAGCCAAGGCCCAATTATAGGAACCCAGTGCTACAGAAAAAATTACCAACAGTGCCACAGTCAACTCACAAGGACAAGGGTGGGCCCGTGCTTTAGATTCTACATATGCTGTGAGCTTGGAGCAAAAGCTCATGGCATTACAAAGCTCATAATGTTCATGAATATTTTTTTTCAATAGCAGAACACCATGGCCAAATTCTTACAACCCTTATTATTGACTTACCCCAAGAAGTCTGCACCAAGCAAGTCTCATAAAATATAGGTTCTTGGGGTCTTCTAATTTATCTTGTCTTATAAAATGTGAGAAAAGAGTTGCTGGAGTATATTTAGCTACTGGTCCATTTTCAGGTCTATGATTTTTTTTCTTTCATTTTAGTTTGAGGGGAAAAAACCAATCTCTCAGTTGGCTGAACCACAATGAGATCGTGAGAAGCCAGAAAGTGTATTCTGGCTGCGCTCCATTTCTTTGTTATGCCCTGCTCAACCACAACACACAATCCTATCTACAGATGACATGGGCCAGAGGCGCCTTCATCACACAAGAACGAGGACTAGAAGCTTAGCTTCTTGAATTGACTGTGAAATTATGGAATCTCACAGCAATGAAAAAGCAGACACATGCTTTGAATGACAGAAGGTGGTAAATGGTCAGTGAATATACATATATAAACACTCCTCACAGCCCTGCCCTGCCTCCACCTGCAAGAGAACTACTCCACCTGCAAGAGACTAACCCCTAGTCAGGTGCGTCTCCACATACATCTTTTCCTGGACCATGGCAGTAACATTCTCAGGTTGTTCCAGACCTTGTGTTTCAACTCTCAGGCCTGACTACATTTCCTAGGAACACTGCCCACTTATGGAATAGCTGCATTCACACAGTCCCTGGCAGTGTTATAAATATGGTGTCTAAACTAAACTTTCCTATTCTTTCATGTTGTTAAAAAGAAACGTATTGCTGATAATATATGTAGATAACTCACAATCTGTTTCCTAAGAAGATGGCATTGCTAATGTATCGTAGCTTCTTTTGAAAAGATTTGGGCGGATGGGTTCTATTCAATCAATTGGATGTGACTGTTTCACAGTAAAAAGCAGAGGAAATGGTAGTCAAGCAGAGGAAATGGTAGTCAACTAGGGACTTAATAAACCCATCTAAAACTAAAATTCTTACATGGACATCAGAGGAGAAGAGACGACAAGTTTTTTTTAGAGACTTGTTTCTCCGGTTGCTTTGAACAGTAACTTAGACAATCCATAGAAAAAGTGTTTTTGGGGTATTCAGTTTTCCCAGAGCTGCCACCATGCTTCTGCACAGTGATATAACTTACAGACAGCAGGAGAGAAGCAGCAGGGGAGGTCTGTTCAAATCACACATGGACATAAACTCAAGTCATGTGTGATTGAAGGGGCCAATACCTAGAATAACTGAAAATAAACTGAGTTTTTCCAAAACTGCTGCCTTTACTTATCATTTTACTCCACACTGCAAGGATGCTTTTCATTCATGCACAAAGCCCTCCCCGGAGCCTGTGTCTAATGATGGGAAGTGATGCAGAGAACATCATCACACCATGAGCACAACTGTGGACACCCACACTCTCTGCTGTGTGAATGTAAACCCAGACCCCTGCAAACATTAGGCCTGAAGCAAGAGAGCTCCATGGTGTGGTGACATGATCAGCACGATGCTGCATACTGGCACAGAACACAAGCAGCAGGTGCATGTTCCCTCTGCAAGAAAGTGTACTAGCCCAGGCACCTTAAACATTTACCATAGGGGCTAGGAATGGCTCAATATCGTGAGTACTTGTCCAGCATTCCTTAAGTTCTGGGTTCAATACAGCACGGCCCAAAATGAAAAGAGGATGTCTTATATTCTCCACAAATCTGCTTCTCCCAAATAAAAAGCTCTAACCATCTGAGAAGGCCACACTTCGAGTCACGGAGAGTCAGGGACACGGAGATTCTCTGAGCTGTGCAATGACACAGGCACTGTGCAACCACAGCACCGTCTCCTGGAAATTCCAGCTGCTCTGTTCACAGCTAAGGGAGTTATATTCTGCACAAGCACTTGCTGAGCTCCAAAGCTTTATCCTCCCATTTGGAACTGAAAGAATATATATAGTATCTTCATCATGGATGTCTGTGCAAGGACCAGAAGAAGGCCTCACAGCTGATAGGGATACATTTTCTACATGTTATAAGCATGTGGGGCAGCAACCCATCACAGAGAAGACCCTCCTAGATGCCCAACTGGCAAAGGAAACCTGGTGACTAACAAGTCCAATTAATGTAGAAAAATTACATGAACAAACACTAGCTATTTCTACTGAATTAGATTGTACTCATCTATTATATGTTACTTTACTCATTATATATGCAGTATATGTTACTTCGTAATACTTACCTTCTAATAACCCCAAAGGGGTACCTGAAAACTACTTACAATGAAAACATAGTGGCAGAAAGGTTATGTGACTTACCTAATGTCATTCAACATGTATAACACGAAGTCAGGCCTGTCTGTAAGAACATCTGACCACAGACCACAATCCAGTAGATTTTCTTAATGGTCCTAACATACTAAATAAATTAGGATGTGTATAATGGGCCATGGAGTCTGTGGTGCTGCCACTCAGTCAAAACAGTCAACAACCAGTTTATAAACACACAGGTAAAGCTTCTCTCTAATCAACAGAAGGCCATCTTTCTAATAGTTAATATAGGACACAGATGGTAAACATCAATCCTGTACCAAATCCAGCTTCCACCTGTTTTTGTAAATAGTTTTACTTACAGTCTATATCTAGCCCATCAACTAGACTTGTTCTAGGCAGTGAGGGCAATTCGTCCATCATAATGCTGTTCTAGTGTCATGGAAACATCCTTGGGAACATGCAAGATTCCTGAATCCAAGATCGATTGCAGTATTCTCAATTTTTTGGCTCCTGATCTGTGGCCTATATGAATCAGCCTTCCAGGTGGGAGTGTCTTTTATTTTAAGTTTCTTTGAAATGTTTGTTATTTTTAAAATAATTTATAGAAAAATTCTTAATTGAATTTTCTCATACAATGTAATTTTGATCGTTTTCCCTTGCACCAGTTCCACCCCATCTCCCTACCCATCCAATTTTATGTTCTTTGTCTTTCTTTAAAACAAAAGCAAAACTAAAAACACACTAAAAAATAAAACTCCACAAAAACACACAATAAAGAAATCAAAATAAACAAGCAAAAGACCAATGTGATATACACATGAACAAAATTCCCAAACAAAACAAAATGAGGCAAGATGCCTACACAAAACATCAGTGAGTTTGTTTGCAGCTGGCCAACTACTCGTAGGCATGGGGACTACCTGGAAGTGTGGCTAGTATACCCAGTGAGAGTCCACTGGCGATTTCCTTTGCCAGCACGCAATAATTACAGACCGTTCCCTTCATGAGGGGTGGGACCTGTGTGTCTGGGATGTGTGCTTGCTGCCATAATCTCTGTGAGTTCATATGTGGATCAGTCCTGTTGTGTCTGGAATGGGTGTCTTTTAAAGCACCTGGCACTCTATGGGCAGTCTCTCATTGCAAAGCAACAGACATTCTCCACTATATCAACTAAACAGCAATTAATTTTCTGAAAGACTCAATATCCTCAGGGCGTTAACTAAGACAAAAAGACAGCCTTACTCGGGCAGACAGCAACCAGGGATTGAGGTGTGGTGCCAACAATTTTTTTAGCTCATCCATTCATGCAGATGTGCTGTGAGTGCCTGCTCTACTGAGTGGAAACATACAAACTTCAGATTGAAGAGGGAGACACTTTACATGGAGCCCTGAATCCCTTGAAGCCCTGAGCTCGGCAATCTCTACTTCAAGTAGGCAGACAGACACAGACAAACAGTGCTGTTTTCCTGTCAAGAACAGCAGCCATGGGAGCAGAACCCAAAGGCTGTGAGGGCAGAAACTACAGGGCCTACTGCTGAGCCCTAAGCACCTGACTCAATGCATGGAAACAGCAGGGAGCTCCAAAGTATTTGCACCTCTGTTTTCCCATGGGTTAGCTTTTTACAAGGTAGACTATGAACAACAGTGTGAGAGCCACTTCCCACAACTGTCCTATTAAAGACATCAATTTCTCCATACCTGGATTGTCTGGTAATCAGAAGCATCGATACCCTTCACGGTTACTTCTCGGAAAACTGTGGGTTCCAGTTCCTCTTTGGTAAGATCACAGTGGTAAATGACACCTAGAAGGGGAGGAAGTCTCAGGTTAGCCTTTCAGTCTCATGAAACACAAGGGCCACAAGGATGCTAGGTAGTACCGGAGGCCTGCACCAGGCAGGGCTCTAGCACATCACCACCCCAGTAGGTATGCCAAGCAGATGACAAGTGTCTGATAGGAGCAGAGGTGTCCTCATCAACACTACTACATATTGCCTCCCATCCCTCAACACGGTGATGCCTGACTGTTCACTGTGGACTTGATAGCATTTGTGGGCTCCTAGGAGCTGCACTCCAGGTGTTTGTGGCGTGTATTTGCAGAGGTTTAATTGACGAAGGGAGACTGACCCCACGGTGGGTAACACCATCCCATGGATTGGGGTCCTAGGCTGAATATAAAGAGACAGAAGAGGAAGGCAGCTGAGCACCAGCATTCAGTTCCCTCTGTGACCTGTTTTGCCCTTATGAGATCAGGGAACCAACCCTTAGGCCTTCTGCACTCACTGCCTTAATTACTCTTAGATTGATGGGATAAAACACCACGGACCAAGACAACTTACAAAACAAGTGTTCAATCTGGCTCAAAGTTTCAGAGGGTTAGAGTCCATGATGGCAATGATGGAACAGCCCAGGGCTGATCTACAACCAAGAGGCAGAATAGACACAGAATCCCACCAGTCTTTTGAAGCCTCAAAGCCCACCCCCAGGAACCCACCTCTTTCCACAAGGCCACTCCTTCTAATCCTTCCCAAACAGTTCTACCAACTGGGGAGCAAGTATTCAAGTAAGCGAGCCAATGGAGCCATTTTCATTCAAACTACCATATCCTCCATAATGGATCACACATTGAACTGTGAGCTTTCTGTCTAGTATTTTGTCACAGCAACCAGAAAAGCAACCTAAGCACTCAGTGCATAAAACTGACTAGCTTTGGGGACCTGAGAAAAAGTGGAATACCTCATTGACCTCAACAGCTTTTCTCCAAGGCAGCTCACAAAGGAATGCCATCTCCAAGCCCCCCACAAATGGTAAACTCATTTGGAGTCATTTACCTGAAAGGACACTGATGGGAAAGTCCCATGGACTGCTCAAAGTCTACAGCCAGTCAGGAGTCTCTGGACCAGTCCCTTTGGGTGCTGCTACCTGACACACATCCAGCCAAGGGCAGACAATGCAGGCAGCAACCAGGAACCAAAGGATCCATCACGTGTCCTTTCAGACTCAAACTTTCAACCCTGTCCCAGTAATTGTACACAATACAAAATAACCAAGAATTCCAGCTCACTAAAGCACTAATGGAACTGCTACTTCCTGAATTTAATGCCCCCCTCTTAATATATTTAAGAATTACATCAAAACCAATTAGACAACACCATACTGTGTTTGAGAGAGTGAACCAGAGAGGCCGGTATGGAAACAGTGACTCATGTACTTTAAATATACATTGTCAAGTGTGAGAAAAATTGGTCCTGGGACCGGTGTTTGCTGGAATCCCACCTGACACAGTGAAACTGAATGCTCATGGATTAAAATGGCAGCTCCTTTTCCTCTCAACCCCTTTATGTGGGTATTTCTCTAGCATCTAAGAAACAATATTCTGTACGTATACATATAAAACTGACTGTTAATGAGACTGTTTTGTTTTTATATCAGTACAGGGTACCCCACACACACACACCCGAATTGGAGAGAAAAAGATGCTCCAAATGTTGCAACAAAAATATAATGGAATAAAGAGCAAGCATGTTCCATGTGATCACCTGATTCACCTTGATGTCACCATAAATAATGAAGGACTTAGGAGCTAGAATTAAGAGTTCAATGAACTCAGACAAGTCACCAGGAATTGCAATTAAATTCCCTAATGAAAGATGAAGAGGAGATGGAGTCCACATTCCTGTTTATTCAGATAAGCTGACATACAATTCCAAAAGCAGAATGAGATGGAACACACAACAGAAGCTGGCTGTCATTTAGAGTGTCCCATACTTCCCTCTGTTATGTATAAATGCACACAATGGATCAGTGAAGAAGGTAGGGATGGTTTCAATGATAAACATACTTTATCAAGATTCCCTATGTATAGTCATCTGGGTTAGCCCAAGTTACTCTACTGCACATTCTCAATACCTAAATTGACCTACTAATACATCAAGTCCCACCAGATCATGTATGGAAAGGACAGGGAAGTGGCCTTGAAGAAAATCTTCTGGATCACAAACAGCAGAAGGCTGTCTAGGAAATGAATTCAAGATTGAGAGAACTCTATTACAGAAGTCCCTTAAAGTCAAAAGGAGTGCCTGGCTTTAAGATGTTCCCTGATAAAAGCAGTGCCATTACAACAGTAGGACAGAGACTAGGAGAGCAGCTGGTGTAGACAGAGGATGGACAGAGGCAAGGAAAGCAGCTGCTGTAGACAGAGGATGGATAAAGACAAGGAGAGCAGCTGATGTAGACAGAGGATGAATGAAGACAAGGAGAGCAGCTGGTGTAGACAGAGGATGGACAGAGGCAAGGAAAGCAGCTGCTGTAGACAGAGGATGAAGACAAGGAGAGCAGCTGATGTAGACAGAGGATGAATGAAGACAAGGAGAGCAGCTGGTGTAGACAGAGGATGGACAGAGGCAAAGAGAGCAGCTAGTGTGGGCTGAGAAGGGAGAAGAGAGAGAGTTAGGCAAGATCTTAGAAAAAAGGGGCCAGAGGGATCTCCAAGGTTGTCCACAACCTAATTACAGGGCTGGATTTTATGCTGTAAAAAGGTAAAAACAAAACACAGAAACCAAGCTTTTGTCTTTTCCAAACCACGTGTGAAAGGCTCTTTCCTCTCTGCCTCCCAGAGCTAGGCCTAAGCTGCTGTTCTGGTTTATTACAAAGCTCATGTCAGGCTGAAGCTAACCTCAGGCAAGTTCTACATTTCCACAAGTACAAAATTAATCAGTTCAAGTCCTAAGTGGTCTGTGTCACAGGAGTCACTATATCCTGTTCCAGACGGCCCTGACACTAGTTTCTTCCCAAATGGGACTTGAGGTGCAAAAGTCACAAACGGAGTGGACTTGAGATGTGTCCTTCCCATGTACTCCTATGGTGTACGCCATGCTCATCATGGGGAGCTGGGACTGTGCATCCATCTCACGCCTCTGCTACTGCCTGCAGTAGTGAATGGCTAATACACAGACTGGCACAGAACATCTTTTGAGCACTGTTGTACTGGGTGTGTATATACACAGAGACTTCTTGCTTTCCTGAGAACTTTAATTATTTGATGGCTGCTTTGCACTTGGCTTTAGACAGCCTGAGTCTGGAAAGCCCATTCTCTAGTTTTAGGTATCAATTACATTAAGAGAGAAGGGAAGGACAGGGTAATGAGTGTCAGGAGACAGGGAGACAAAACAGAGCAGTATAGTAACAAATTAAGTCTTTCTTGGAAGCAGCCATAGCATGTAACTAGGAACACACTTTTCTCTCCAGCCTTCACAGCCTCAGCCACAGGCAGCATTTTATGCAGAGACGTCATTTCCCACTAGGACAAACAAGCCTTTCCCCAGATAATGATAAACCTGTTCCTGAAAAAACAAAATTGTCACACAGGGTCACTGGAGGAGGTTGTGGGCTTCATGGACCCTGGATTTTATTAAGAGCAGATGAGTCACCCTTATTCTGTGTTCTGTCACTCATTCACTTAAATGATTGAAGACATGAGAGTTTGAAGTAAAATGTCTAGAACCAGTGAAAGCTTGAGAATAAAATGTGGGTCCTGTGACAGCAGGGATAGGGACATGCCCCTCTGCTCACTGGTTACAGCTGAGCCCAGGTTCCGGGAAGGGGCAGGGTCAGGGCTCCCAACTTCCAGCTCTGGGGCTCTTATACTAGCTCCTCTTAATCTCCCAAAAGGTACGTGGGGAGTGAACCCTGATGCCTCCCAAACGGCTAATGGAACATCACTCTCTCAAGTTTAACAGTCCTGTCAGCAGCCGGCCATAACACTACAGTTTCTTAGGGTTAGGGTTAGTCAAACTCTTTCCAGAGACCGCTTCATCTACCAGCAAATGATGGCTACAAAACTGTTAAGGACAGAGAGTGCTCCCAAGGAGCCGGGCAAATGAGCAAGACAATGTGGGAGCTTTCCCAGCCAGACTGCTTTGAAGACAGGGTCTGCCTGGTCAGCTACAAACTGCCAGCTGAGCAGACTCCTGAAGCAAACAATGTACGTGTGGAGGAGGTCTATACAAAGCAGGATGAATGTGACCAGCTTCGTAGAAAGTACAAAACAGAATCATTTTACTTGGGGAAGATTAACTCATACCAGGGAGTGTAAAAGCTAATCTTCGAAATATCCAAGATAACACAACACACTTTATTTTCATGTACTTTTAGAATCAGAGTTCATTCTGGGAGGCAGCCTGAATGCTGGGTATGGCTGTACATGGGGTTTGTCACTGTTACCTGCACTGTGAATCTTAGTGCAGATCAAGGCCTGGACTAAGGGTGACATTTGCAGACCCTGAGAACAAGCACCCTGCTAGCCCAGCAGAAGTTGGTGGGGACACTTTTCTTTGTTCTGAAAAGCTGATTTACTCTGAGTGGTTCTGTCTACAGTCCAGCCTGCATTAGCACAGACACCATCACACTGCCATTTGGAGAACCTCTTACCTGGAGACAAAAACGACGTGAACTGGTAGAAGATCTCGGAGTCCTTCTTGCGCCCACTGTACCCCACCACACTGCCCACGTCCAGAGGGAAGGTCTTGAGGAGAGCACCTGTGGTCAGGTCGTGAAGCTGCAGAGTGTTCTTCACATCATGGAGGTAGCACAAGACCAGGAAGTTGGACCTGACACACGCTACCCACTCTGAAACAACACAGAGAAAACCCAATGCTGCTTTGAAGATCAGAGAATACTTTGTAACATGAATAATAAAAACCCAGAGATTGATATTGGGGTCCAAGCTACAGATCAGGGAAGCAAAGTAGCCAGGCACTACTTCTCACCTCTACCTCAGGCTGAAAGGGCTGTCCTGCCTCCACAAATCTTCAGAGACAATGCTATCTTTTCTAGCAAGATCACTGGAAAGTAACCCTCACATCTCTAAGAGGTGGGGACAAACAGCCAAAGGTGACACAAAAGCTTACACTTATGAGCTCTGTTTTCATCAGACAGTGTGCACTGTTGAAGCACGGCATTCCTAATAATTACAAGTCAAGGTTCTATACTGAGTATTGGTCATCCAGCCGTGAGGTGGAAACAACCTGTTGATGTCTGACAGGCCCAATTTCCCAGCAGCCACTGTTCTCACCTAGGACGTCTTTCTCGTGCTCTGGGACAAGCACTTTCCACTTAGACTCGTCAGGGTCGGTGAAGTCGATGTTGATCAGACGATAATTAGGAGAATTGCGGTTTGTCTTGAATGTGAACACTGTGCCCTCGTTGGTCACGTAGTCATACTCTCCTTCAAAGTTGTCTATTAGTTTTACCCATTTCAGGATTCCTGGGAAAAGAGAACACATTCCTGTCACCTTCAATAATGTAAGAAATGATGCAGGTCTCTATGTAGGGAGGCGAGGGACTCTTTTTCTTTCTGTAACACACGAGACACAACACATGAGAATGAGCAAGCTATGAATGGATGCTGGGGGGGGTTTGCTAAAGGACATCTCCTGCCCTACCATTCCACACTCCTATTAAACAGTCTTTAGAGCACGTCTCAGATCAAAGCCTGTCTTTTTCCTGCCAACACCTGGTATACACAGTGGCCCTCAACCAGGGCAACAGACAGGCCAATTCCAAGCAACATTTGAAGTCTACAGATAATTTTGTTTGCTGCCACTTAGGAGGTGAGGACTGCTACTGCCATCTAGTGGCAGAGATCAGAGATGCTGCTGAACATGCTACTAAGCCCAGGTCAGGCCATAACAAGTCAGCAGTGCCAAGACTTTGAAGCTGTGGCCTATAGTATTAGCTTGCTGCCTGGTTTTCCCATACCCACTCCTGATTTACTCTACTCCAGCCAGAACGATGCCTTAATACCCTAACCTGGTCCACAATGGTGTCTTTCTCATCACACTCTGAATAGACTCCACACACAACACAAGTTCCACCTAAGCCAACTTCATACATTCCAACTCCCGCCTCACCTCCTGAGCTCTAGTGGTTCTCAGGCATGCCACAGGCTGTGCCCTCTGCCTGGCCCACTCTCAAAGAGCTGACCACCTCTATCAGGCACACTTGTGACATTTTTCTCAAGACAGCTACGCATTTAACAGCCGATTCCTTAAGGGTTTTACTTGCTCCTTCATACATAGCTCGCAGGTACTTTGTAGATGCAAATAAAAGTTGTATTGAATGAAGGTGGGACACTTTGCAGTCCTTTATTCCTAAGAACTGGTGCAGTGGTCATCACTAAACATTTTAACTATATTTGCTGTGACCTTGGAATGGCTCTTGGTAGACCTTTAATGATTAGAAGCGCACTGGAAGACACCTGTTTCACAATATACCCGATACACAGCTCAGTGAACATCTTAAAAAATTTATACATGAAAAGAACTCTACAACTTCAGATACTCTCTAAACATCCCCTGGCTTCAATTCCACAAGACACTTCTATTTTAATTTGGACAATTCATTTCTGTCCCATCGTCTTCACTAAGTACTTCACATTCGTGCCTTATTTGCATCCACAGCATATCTTAACATAATGTGTTGTTGAATTAAACATATCAGGGAAAGTGTAATTCCAACAAAGGAGATCCAGTCTCCTATGGTCAGACATATTTGGATCAAAATCCCAGATCTCCCACTGTTTAGCTATGTGATTGTTTATTTGTTTGTTTTTCTTTTTCAAGACAGGGTTTCTCTGTCAAACAGTTCTGGTTGTCCTGGAACTTACTCCATAGACTAAGATGGCCTCAAACTCACAGAGATTCACCTGCCTCTGACTTCTGAGGCATTAAAGGGATTAAAGGATACCTGGCTAGCTGCATGATTTTGAATGATCTATTTATTACCTGTTTAGCCTTATGTTCTCAACCATCAACTAAGAATCACAAGAAACATAAAAAAAAATTTAAACTATCAGCATATTTACTCCACAATAAAAACTTAGTGAAATTATTTATTTAAAGTAGTTTGAATTACATCCAATAAAACCAGCAGTAAAAATTTAAAGCCTTTCTAAATGTTGGTAGTAACCAGTACAAAACTCAGAGAGAGGCTTCATTTATAGTAGAGGCAAGCTTAGTAGAACACCTAGGAATGTATCTAGCATGAAATATGGAGTCTACATAAAAACAAACAAGCAAACAAAACCCTTGAGCTTTTTCTAAGGAAACATTAAAATAAAAACACATTATAATCCTAAGTGTGAAGAACTAATACTTCAAAGAGACAATGAATCCCATTGGAAATAAACAGTAGTAAGATTGGCAGGGAATGTGACGTCATTCTGAGACTCCACTGAAAAGACAAAGCATTAGGACAGCAGTGCAGGGACTTCTCAGTGATGCTGCCCAACCCAACTCTGTCCCTCACATGCACTTTCACAACACTGCAGTCCTGCCTCCTTTTACTGTTACCACACAAGCGATCCTCTGCATCTTTCTCGGAATACTATCTTGGTAGGGTTTGTTCAGCCTTTGGCTATTGTTTGACTTCTGTCTAAATTTTATTGTGCTCAGAGAACACACCTGATCTTATTTTAATCTCTTTCAACTTACTAACAGTCTCCTGACTTTAAACTATGTTTTGCACATAACTGAAGGAAAACACTCTGAACTCACCTGAGAATTTATGTGCCAAATAACCCTGCAGTCATTCCCTATTCGGACCACTCAGTTCTACACATCCAATGGATTTACACCATTCATTCTCTCCACCACAGAAAAGAGGAATGGTTGTGCCTGAATTGTGGGGCAATTTTAACTTGTATGTGTTCCCTAGACTTACAGGTCTGTTAGCTACTACTCCCAGAATTACCAGACTTAAGTGAAACTCACTGGAGGATCTTATGGTCACAAAGCTTTTATCTGTAGAAATATGCTTTGCTTTAAAGTGTACTCTGCTGTTTACTGATCTAGCCACATCGTTCTCATGCCACGTGTCACCTCGTTAAGCTTCCCTAGCTGCTCCTTGCACAATGGCTGTTCCCACCCTGCAGTTTATTGTTTATAAAGAAGTTTGTTCTTCATGTCCAGTATTTCATGTTTTTCCACTTTTCTGGTGGGCTGCACTTTAGGAATTTCTTTATATTTATATTCTCTTTCACTAAACCTCTCCTTTGTTGTATTCATAACGATAACAGCCATGTGTACTACTAAAAGTATGTTTTCTAATCTGATGGTCACTTTCAGTTGTTATTTCTTGCTTATGTGTCCAAGGTTTTTTGTTTTGTTTTGTTTTTTAACAGCAGCAGTATTCTGATGGTATATCTTTTAAAACTGTGTTTAATACACTTTACACTAAGAATCAGATAATCCTACTCTAGTGTATCTATCAACTCCTTCTCATGATGGCAAATGTCTCTCTATGATGGTTTTTGACTGTTTTGCTGATATCCTTTGGAATCTTGTTTGAGAGAGCTCTTGGGGCCTGGGTTGAAGGAGCAATCTTCCAGGGAAGGTCTGTCTTTACTTTTGCATGCCTCTTCAAATACAACCAACACTGGAGCACTTTAAATTCTTGGAATGTAGATTTCTAGAATTCAGAGGCATCACTGTTGACTCCATGTGAAGGTCAGTGCCTCTCATGCACCTGGGAAATATGTTATGGCTCCATCACTAATACCAAGGTAGAATTCCTTAGTATCCACCAGGGACCTTCCATGACTGGATGTTTTGCCTGTCAATCACTCCTGCATTGAGTTTGAACCATGGGAAAGCAAACTCCACCTCCTTCCTCAGCAGAAACATTTGAGACAAGCCAATTTCTGTCCCTGTGTTCCTGCTTTCACTCCAGTTCTGCTCTCTGTGATTTCTGGTCCTTTTCTGCCAACAACAACATATTTGGAAAGCCCTGCCTAAGTGTTTACAATACTTTAGTTGTTTCAGCTCAAAGGCTACTCAGAGTACACACTCAGACAAACTCCCACCCAGACCTTACAATTATGCTTCATATGAGGTTAAACTCTGCATATCAGGCACAATTATACCTTCAACTTTCTAAGTGGCAAATTGCTTACTAGGTGATCCACTTTACGGCAATTATAACTTGTTCCCATAACACAAGGCTTTATAAACACATACACACTCATGTCTTAGAGCAACAAAATTTAAGTAAAGTCATTAGATGCCAATCAAACATTTGAAGATAACCTTAAAGCTTCATTTGTTTGTGGACAGCAAATCTTGATCCAGTGAAATGTCAGATTCTTTAACTATCTCCCCGCCAATAAAGCATTTACTGATGTGAACATTTATTTCACAGCATAACCTTCTATGGTCTCTGCTTGAAAAGATCATGAAGACAGTAGCATCTATTAGATCCCAAACCACCCAAAGACACCGGAGTATGACAGACCCAAGACACTAAAGGGAAGTCCTTTGGCTTTGCAGTACGCACAGGTGAGCCTGAAGAAAGGCATTGCCTCAAATGATCAGATTCTGCCAAATACCAACACCTCAGATAAGCCTGTGGGCGTGTCACTACACCCCGAAGAACTGACTAGCTGCAAATGTACACTGTGAGTCTGTGACTCATCAGAATAAGGAGCTGTGGCTCAATCTGTGTAAAAACAGCTATAAGATTTAAAATGTTCCCATTTAACTTTATTATAAACCAAAACCCTTGGAATTAAAAAGTATCAAACAGAAAGAAATTAACCAGACCCAAAGTCTATATATGGATCTCAATGAGGCTCTACACAGTAAGGACACACGTGCAGCAGCTGTGGAACTTCACACTGGGTTTTATACTCTCACAAACATGTCTTACACTCATAACTATCACCAAAACTGAATATAATAATATAATATAAAATAATAATTACTTTTATATCCTCTTAACTTGTGTTCATTGCAGCACCCCCTAATATTTAGCCATTCTTGCTCTTTTCTACATGCTATACTGCACCCACGTATATCTTTGTTTGTATACACACACACTGTAACTTTAGGTAACATAATATAGCTTCTATAGCTTTTAAAAATATGCTTAGTGGGGACTGGAGAGATGGCTCAGTGGTTAATAGCACTGGCTGCTCTTCCAAAGGACCTGGGTTTTCAAGTGCGAGCACCTACATGGCAGCTCAGAACTGTCTGTAATTCCAGTTCCAGGCGATCTGACACCCTCACACAGACATACATGTGGCAGAACCTCAATGTACATTAAGTAAATAAACCTCTAAAAATATGCTTAGTGTTATTTATCCTTTTCCATTCCTTCCTTCGTATACACCTGTGTCTTTAAAGGGTGCTGTGAAGCAACTCCAGCTTTCAACCCTTGAGGAGAGTAAGTACAGTGTGCTAATCAAGGGAGAGGGGCTGTGAAGACTAAAGGAAGGACCTGCATGTGTAACTCTGAACCAGGTCCCAGGAAACATTACAAATACAGCATTTAATACCCCAATTACCCCAGCATTCTTAAAGTGATGAAAATGGAATGTCATCTTTTAAAATCTAATTTTCCTCTACTGTGGCATAGAGCCATTTTCCTAAAAAAAGCCTTTACAATTTAAAAATGATGACTTCCCCAAACCACTGGGGTTTTATGCCACAATTTTTATGGCATACCTAATAAAAGGGTTCAAAAGTTAAAAAATCTAGCATAGATATGAGTTTTATTATTGGTACAGAAGGAGAGTATCTTATCAAGCAGGGTATCTGGACAAAGGTCTCTAAAGGGATCTTAACTAGTTATCTATCACAAGCTGGTGCAGCAATCAGGAGATCATCAAGTACTGTACACATACACCCATGCACACACACTCACATACACATGCACATATTCATATACACACACGTGCACACACACACACACATATGTACTCTCTCTCTCTCTCTCTCACACACACACACAAATCAGAGGGTGAAAAGCAGCGATGTCTAGACTCACAAAGCTCACAGACATGAAATTACTTATTAAGGAAGGCCACTTTGTAGTGTCTTAATAAAGAATTAATTATTTGAAAAATGCTTTTAGTTATTTTCTTTCCCTGAAATGCAAAGGGGCTTTAAAGTTATCTAAAGGAATACCCAGGTTTTGGTAATACAGAAGCAGAGTTGTTTTTGTTTTTTAACATTGTATGTAATTTTTAGTTTGCATATATTCTTGACTAATTCACCAACATTTAAGGTAAACATTACCTTTGAGTTCAATGTCTATCTTCTTCTTAAACAACATGACAAAAGGGAGGAGCAGATAAGGAACAAAAGCAAGGTATTCATTCCTACCAATCAGACGCAAACCCCTGAACATTAGCCTGCACAAAAAGACCCTTCCCACCAGTCACCCAGAGGCACACAGAGAACTCTTCTGATTATGCATCTGTGTTTGCAGTAAACAAATTAAACATCAAAACTTGTATTTGGAGTAACTTTGATGATTAGGAGTTAAAAACAAACCAAAAAACCCACCTGTCAGTATGTCCTTAACCTTCTATTCTGTTATCTAAAACCAGTGTCGTGATTTCAAAATCTCACTCTGTCAAGGAAGAGCAGGAGGGAAGGACGGAGCTCTCGTATGACAGGAACCCAAACTCAAACCTAGGCCAGCCCTATTCCCTGCACTAGCCTGTAAAACAGTATTAGTTTTCCATTTGCAGACATGGATCCCTTGAAAGGGAAAAACAAACTTCAAATCAAGATACTCTGCTGTAATTAAAGTGAATCATGTAGGTAACTACTTAACAATTACCAGTCCCATCTGCTGTCTCCTCTTCCCTAGCTAAGCACACATGGTACAGCATTAACTGCTGTGGGATTCACAACTCCTGATCCAACCTGCCAGACTGAATAGACACTAAAGAAAAACTGCATCTGTACTGATCATCACACTGGGTCACCATCACAGACAATACACAACAGCAACTGTTTACATAGCATTCATACTGTCTTAGCTCTTATCAGTAATCTAGAGATGGTGCAAAACACAGACAGATGTGGGGGCTTCTGCGAAAACACTACAACATTTAATGGAACAGGCTGGTAGGTTCTGGTCTCTGCCTGGAGTCCTGAAATCCATGTCTCGATGGACATCAAGGAACAACTAACTGTATTGCTTCTTTAAACCGCTGTAATCATGTGACTGATTCACAGTGACCCAGTGATTAGTACAAAAATAACAAACAAGATGCCTCCATCATCTGCCTGGTGAGGGCCCTCAATTTTTAATAGGCTGGTTCTGTGCTCATTGCGGTAGAATATGTGGCTTCAGAAAGCAACAGCAGGTTGTCACTGTGTACACAGCTCAGAAGGGGCCATAGTATGATTACCTGTTAATCTGGTAAATATCCACCTTTTTTATCCTAACAACTCTATGACTATAAACTGCTACAAGCCAATATTCCAGCTTCTACCTATCACACAGGACCTCATCACAAGCAGGTGCAGAAGATGTGCTTAACCCCAATCTACAGGGAAAGTACAAACAGCCAGCCTTATTTCACTTGTCTTTATTACATGCAATAGCACACAAATCTGTATGACCCAAGATGACATGTTAGAAAGGAAGATGGTTAGTTGAGTCAAAAATAACTTACCAGTGATACCACTGGATTCCTGCTGGAGGTCACAGTACCACAGTCGGTTTACCGGATCACATCCCTCCCAGATGGATAACAAGACATATCGACCATCATCGGATAGCTATAAAGACACAAAAGTGTGTAAGCTGAGTCATGTGGACTTGTTCTTAGCAGCCTATGAAGTGAGTATCATTACTGTTCCCATCATCGTGACCAAAGAACTAACAAAAAGCTTCTGGAGGGAGAAAACTCATCTGGGTTTATGGCTTAAGGGGCTACAGTCTGTTATGACAGAGATCAGAAGCTTGTTCACATTCAATATGGATCCAGAGACAGATGAAGTTAGGATGACAAATTTCGTCCGGCTAGGCCACACCCCTTCAAGGACCTAAAACCTCTCGCTCTGTTATTTCAGCAGCTGGGGACCAAATGATCAAGAGGCTGTGGCGGGCACTTTATATCCAATTGTAAAATGCTAAGGACAAAGGAAACTTCAAATGCAGTATCTTCACTCCAAACCCAGGATCTAACAATACAGTTACTTTAAAAAATTGAAAGAAGATAGGTATTTAAGTAGAAAGTACCATTAGGAAAACAGATGTTAGTAGCAATTGCCATTGGGAAAACAGAATGCGATGATTTTTACTTAAATTTCTCTTCAAGAACATGTAATTTGATATTTTGAACACTAACACTTTTGACCTCTGGTCTGTTCACAGGTTACCCATTTTAAGAGCTGTGGTTCTACATGAGTAAGGATGAGCAGAGTGAATACTCATACAGAAGTTCAGGGTCCATATTTGCACATTTCTACTGAATAGCTCTTCATATATTTCCTTAGTCAATTCATAAGATCAGAGCTAAAAGTCTTGGCTTAAGGAAATTTCAACTATGAAAAAGCATACCCATAGGTAGTGGAAACAATAGTGATAAAAATCTCTAAGAATGCAACAAGTAATATATTATTGTTTTGAGTTGTCAGGCTGGAAGTGAGTGACATCAACCTAGGCATGTTCTCCTAAAACTCATTTTTCACATAGTATCTTTTGGACAATTAGCTTGCATTGGTATTAATCTGTTTTATACATTTACCTGCTGGATGTTACAATCTAGGGATGCCACAGGGCCCATCCTTTTCCCTACTATTGGATATTTACATTGTTTCTCCTTCCTTCATACTACAAACAATTCTTTAGAAAAAAAACCTTAAGTATATCTGTGACCTAAAGTGCTTTGCAGGTTATAAAATGAAAGTAATCTGTTGCTGGGTGTGTATATACTCAACTGTATAGTACCAACTTATGCCATGACCTGGCTGCACTGTGTGATCCCAGGACCCCTACAGTCTTTTGATTTTCAACTTTATGCCACAGTGCCCAGATATTTGGTTGAGTTCTGATCCAGATGCTTGTAAGCAGCAGCTCTTAGATGAAGTTGTGTTTAAAGGCGTAGACATGGAGATCGTACCTCCCTCCATAATGAGTTGTACCTCGTTCACCCAGCTAAGAATCTTAATAGAAAAGGAGACAGACTGCTCGGAGCTCAAGTACCACTCTTTCCTGTTTCCAACCTGTTAACTCACTCGGCTATTTCAAGAACTGGCAAGCCTCAGTAATGAGGCAATTTCTTAAATTTTTCTTTTTGTCTACAAGCACACGTACACATTCACACACTGTTGGTTCTTGTTCCCTAGAGAACAGTGTTATACTCTCCAACTGTTATTCTTTTATTTGGTCATTCCATAGACACAGTCTAAGGATCTACATATACAAACTCATGTCTAAGCTTTGTTTCTGTATGTGAAGGATGTACCAGTGAACAACTTGGGGGAAATGTCATAACAAGGAGACAAATGCATAAATATGGATTTTATGCCACGCACCACTCATGAACAAATGGCATGAACAACTAGAAGAGATCTTAGCAAAGAAGGCGAAGGATTGTAGTTTTAAAAGGAGCAGCAGGGCAGGCCCCAAAGGGAGGTGTTTCGACACTGCTTGTGGGTAGTCACTGCCTCAGAGCCGTCATTTCTTGTCACTTTTTTATCTATATGTAAGGTGTGTTTTATTATCCGGAGGCTTTTAATATTTTCCTGTTACGCTCATTTACTGCACGTTGATTCCAACTGTCTTTGCTGTAATAGTGTCTGCATTTGCTGAGCTTCTTGGATATGTGTGCTTGAGTATTTTATAAATGTGTAACAGTTGTTTTTTGTTTGTTTGTTTTCACCTTGTTTACATCTTAAGAACACTCTTGTCTCTATGCTGACATTTCAAGTGGACATTGGGTTTCACTTGCTTGTCCCTAACATTTTCTAAGAGCCTTTGTAAATTATTCCTATAATTTTAAAAAATCTTTGCTGTTTCTGAATCTACATCTAAGATTAAGGATTATTCTGCTTCATTAAACATGCAGTGACTTCTGAATTGGATTCTGGGCATCTGGAACATTGTCTGGATTTTTTTTTTTCCCCTCTCTAATATGCCTATAAAATGTTTTGAATCAATTTCCTGACAAACCAGCTGGCTCCATCCAGGCTTGCTGTCCAGCAAGATGCACACGTGTGACCTCTCTGGGGTGCCACCAAACCCCTGGTGCTTCAACAGGCTAAGCATGTATGTTACCACTCAGCTACAACCCCAGCCCTCTATTTAAAAATACATATTTTTTGAGACAGTTCCTCATGTAGCGCAGGCAGGCCTTGAACTTACTATTCAACCACAGGTTGCCTTTAATTCCTTCCTGATCCTCCTGTCTCCACTTACTGAGTGCTAGGACTATGCACATGTACCACTATGAAAACTCATGTCTACTCATGTCTCCACTGAGTTCTAGGATTACACACATGAACCACTATGACAACTCACAATCAACTTCTTTGTGAGCATTTCTTTTTCATTTTGTATTCATTTGAAAGTAACACATTTTATTTCTTTCCAACTTTTAATCAAGAAAGTTAACAAACTTATGTCCAAATTTTTAGTTCCACCTTTTTAGAAGTTCTATTTTAAAAGTATCAGTAATCTACAATTATAATTTTATTATTATCCAAAGCACCCTTGTTAACATTGTTAACATTGACTTTTCTTCTCTTGTCCTTTGAGTTCAGACAGAACCTGTGCAGCCTGCTGTTTAGAGCCATGCCACATCAATCACAAATGATTGACTAGAGTGCCTCGGACAACTGAAGGACAGAACAACATTCGTGCTAGAGCACCAGACCCTGATTGTGAGTTGTCACAGTGCAGTGAAGTCAGGCTTCCTCCTCCTGGATTGTCACAATTCAGAAATGTTCAGAACCACAAGTATTTGCTTAACCAGAAACACTTTGCATTTTCAATTTTCAAGCCAGCAACCTCAAAATCACCTAAGTTATTTTCTTCAGAATGTACAAATTAGAATACCTTTCTCTACTAAAAATTAACCAGTAACAACAGATGCTTAGCCTATTAGACTATTTTAAGACAATTTTAAAGATGATTTTTTTAAGAGATCACTGGGAAAACAAACACTCAGTAACATGGAGATTTTTTGGACTCTAATGGATAAGTGGACTTCCCTAAAAGCCAGAGAAAAGGAAAACAAAAGCACCAGCAAACCAGGCCATGGCTCCTTTAGACAGTCTATGTCCTCTGCTACAAAGTATCAGCAGTATGACAGTGTTTTCAGCAGTAGATGGTGGCTACAGTAACCCTGCTCTCTACAAGCAACCTGACTAAAAACACAAGCAAAAGACAAAGGGCAACATTAATCCCACCTATGATGAAATATGGATTTCCTAACTTACTGGTTTTTACACCTTTTATTTTACATTATAAGCAAAATCTCCTTAAAGCCATAGTCACTTTTTATTGATGTAACATTAATATAAGCAAAACCCCAAGAATCACTATAAATGAGATAGTTGTGTGCTGATACTAGCTCTACTTACTTCCATGATGTTACTGGTAGGGATTAAAGCTGGAAGTCACCATTCTTATACTATAAAGTTTAACATGCCAGTATGCTAACAGCCTAGTTCTGTAATATCATCTGGCTTACATTTGGAGTGTTGACTGTAATTCAACTACAAAATAACGAAGAAAAAAAAAATGCTGATACCTGTATATAAAAATAACTGAATAGCTGTACAAAGAACATAGGGTTCTACAGATGTGCTAAACAGCATTTGGTGATTAACTGCTAAGCAGCTTTTCATTATCTCTAGGCTTAGGGAACTCCCTGATTCCTGGCTCCTACTCCTTGTCCGGGGTTTTCTCAGTTGTACACCGGCCTGCACTTATTAGCACTGCAGTCCCCAGCAAAGGAGAAAAGACTCGTTTGCTTTGGTTATAGTTACCTGGATATACTACCAACAAAATGGAGATCTTGGAGTGAGATACCACAGTGAGATTCACAAGCAACACCTTGTTGATAATAAAGAATATCCCTATGCCCAGAGTGGATGTGGGTAGACAGGGCTCCAGTGTGCCCAATGGTGGCTGTTTTCAGTAGGATCATCAGTAGGACTTTGAGAGCCCATCTTACACCTGCCAGAGTGGCTAAGATAAAAAACACAAGTGAGGGCTCATGCTAGAAAGGATATGAAGCAAGGGGAACACTCCTCCAACGCTGGTAGGAATCAAAACGGCAGTTTTCCAAACAAACTGGGGATCGACCTACCTCAAGACCCAGCTATACCAGTCTTGGGTTATACCCAAAGGACTCTCTACCTACCACAAGGACAGCTGCTCAACTATGTGCATAGAGCTTCATTTGTAATAGCCAGAAACTAGAAACAACCTAGCTGTCCAACAACTGAAGAATGGAAACGTTATAAATTTACACAATGGAGTATTACTGGGCTGTTAAATACAAATGATATCATGAAGTTTGCTGGCAAATGGATGGAACTAGAAAAAAAAAAAAATCCTGAGTGAGGTAACCCAGACCCAGAAAGAATAACATGATATGTCCTCACTTATAGGTGATATTAGCTGTAAAGGATAACCATGCTACAATTTACAGATCTACATAACAAGGAAGGCTCAAGGAGGAATGCAAAGATCTCCCGAGGAAGGAGAAATAGATTTCCAGGGTGGACTGGGGGCGGGGGTTGGGAACAGAAGGGATCAACTGGGTGGAGAGAAAACCCTGAAGGAAATGACTAGAACTGAGGGGCATTTAGGGGAGAGGGGGAAATCTAGTGCAATGGGAACTCCACAGAATCTACAAGAGTGACCCTCACAAAAACTCCTTGTAATGAAGGACACAGAGCCTGAACCAATCATCTTCTGTAGCCAGGCAAGGCCTCAAGTGGAGGGACCGGGACACCAACGCAGACACAACGCCTTCACCCCACAGTGTGTCCTGCCTGTAGAGTGTTCTGGAACCAGAGTCTAGCAGAATCGTCATCAAAGAGACCAAAAAGACTTTATCCAATAACTGAAGGGAGCAGATACAGAGTCCCAGCCAAACATAGGAGGAGCTCAGAGAGTCCTGCAGAAGATGGGGAGTAAAGATCAGAGGAACCAGAGGGACCAGGGAGAAGAGAGTACCGCCTACAGAGTCAATCGACTGGGACTCATGGGGGTTGGCAGAGATCAGAGAGCCTGTATGGATATGTCCTTGATCCTCTGGCATCTATGTTATATCTGAGTAACATGTTGTTCTTGTGAGGTTCTTAACAGTGAAAGTGGATGCTGTCTCTGATTGTTTTGCCTGTTGGCGGGATCTCCTTCCTCCTACTGGTTTGCTTCTTCCAGCCTTGACATGATGGCATGTGCCTGGTATTACTGTAGTATATTATGCCATGTTTGCTGGAAGCCCCTGGGAGGCCTGCTCTTTTCTGAGAGACGGAGAGGAGTGGATCTGGAGGAAAGGGAAGGTGGGGAGAAATACTGGGAGGAAAGAGAGGGTGGGAAACTGAAGTTAGGATATATGTAAGAAGAATAAAATAGGCCGGGCGTTGGTGGCATATGCCTTTAGTCCCAGGACTCGGGAGGTAGAGGTAGGAGGATCTCTGTGAGTTCGAGGACAACCTGGTCTAAAGAGCTAGTTCCAGGACAGGCTCTAAAGCAATACAGAGGAGAAACCCTGTCTCGAAAAACAAAAACAAAAACAAAACAAACAAACAAACAAAAAAACCCAAAAAAGAATAATAATAAAATTTTTAACATTGAAATTAACAGTTAAAAAGATTTACCATCTTCATTATTAATAGTCAATTTGAATAGCACTATTTTTAAAACACTCATTCTTGTACTTCTACCATTTTTGGAACACCTACATATATATATTACATAAATAATTACATGTGCACATGATGCAAGATCTTTGAGGAAGAAAGTTAACAGTGTACAATACCTCGGCTCCCCCCATCCACTTGGGCTCATCAGGAAACTCAGCACACAGAATATCTTCTGACTGATCTGTCCCCAGGACATGGTAGCAGAGCTTCTGGTGGAGATTGGTGGACGTCTCTGTCCCTGAAGAATAAACATGTTTACTGAAACGCAGTTAGCAGTCTGAAGACAATCTCCACTACATCTATCACACAATGCTAAGAACATTTCAAAGGCTGAGTATATATACTTGAAGGATGCAAGGTTAAAAACCATTAAGTCATATTCCTACATACTAGCAACAAATAGGAATTGTTACCGTAGCAACCAGCAAAATATAAATGTAACAAAGTATGCACAAGGTCTATACAAGGAAAATAAAAAACCATCCCAAAGAAATAAAATAACTGATACCTAGAGAAACTCCATGCTCGTGGAGAAGATGGCTCAGTGCTACCAACATGTCACTCTCTGGACCTGACCCATAGATACAATGCCAGGATTCCATTATGTTAATTTGTGGACAGGGATTGTCCTGGTGGTTTTATTTTTTTTTTATTTTTTATTTGTCAACTTTACACAATCTAGAGTTATCTGAGAAAAGGAACCTCAATTGCCAAAATGCCTACAGGCCATGTGATGGTTGTATTTTCTTGATTGATGATTGATGTGGAAAGGCCCAGCCCACTGTGGGCAGTGCCACCCCTGGGTAGGTGGTCCTGGGGTATACAAGAAAGCAAACTGAGCAAGTCATGATCACCAGGCTAGTAGGTAGCATCCCCCCATGGTCCCTGCTTCAGTTCCTGCCCTGATTTTCATCAGTGATAGAATATTATCTGGAAGTACAAGATGAAATAACACTTTCCTCCCTATATTGCTTTAGGTCACCATCTTTATCACAGCAACAGAAACCAAACTAAGACATGAACAAACTGATTCTCAGGTTTACATGGAGGAACATAAAGACTGAAATAACTGACAACAAAGAATCTGTCTAACATCAAGACTCTGGGATGGTGGTGTGAACTTGTCATCCCAGCACTCCAGGGCAGAGGCAACTGTAGCCAATCTACAAAGCAAGGCTCTGTTTTAAAACAAAAGACTGAAAGCTACAAGAGAGGAGGTGGGAAGCAGACAGCAGTGGAATAGCCTAGCAGAAAACAGAAAAGGAAACTAAATGGAGGACAAAGGAATTAGCTTAGAGGGGAAGAGAGGCCTGGGGGCAAAGGGGGGGGGGTAAGAGGTAAGAATGAAGTTAATAACAAAAACCTATGAAGGTGCCATGATGACACCATTACTTTGAATTATAACCTAAAAATTAATAATGAAGAAAATGCTACAGGACTCATGATACCTGGCATAAGCAAAATAAATAAGCAAACACTTAGTTAACAGAATTAAGAGCCCAGAAATAAACCCATATAAATATACTGTTGATCTGTAATAAACAATCAAAGGAAATATAATAAAACTAGATTTTCAACAAATGGTACTGGGGGGGGGAGCAAATCTAGATATAAACTTTAGATTCCTCACAAAATTAACTCAAAGAAGATTGTAGACAAAAATACAAAACACTGAATTATAGAATTCCTGCAAGATAAAGTAGGAGAAATGTAGGTGGCCTTAGACCAGGAGTCACTTTTTAGCTCTAACAAGAAAGGCCTCTGATAAACTCAACTTGGGCAAAGACCCTACTGTAGGAAAGGTCATAGACCAGGACAAAATCTTTACAAAATACCAATATGACAGAGGACTATTAACTAAAGCATGCAAAGACCTGGTAAGGCTCAAAAGTAAGAAAACTAAAAGCCAGGTGAGACACAGACAGTAAGTAAGCTTTGAAAAAGGGATCCACATCAGTGTGTGGCCAGGCAACAAATTATAATAAAAGGTTAGCTACAGAGCTACCCGACCCTAACAGCACTCAGACACTGGGGAGCAGCCAGGGCCCCTCACTATTTAGGAATGAAAAATGCCACAGGCTTTGGAGGATGGTTCTGGGGGTTTGTCACCCTAAGACCTAGCAACTGCTGCTTAGAATTCATCACAAGGATCACAAATATTCACACAGAAATCTACCCCTGACAGCAACTTAGTACATAATTGCTAAAACAAGGAAACAACATGTTTCCTTCAGTGTTTGAATGGATAAGTATGACAATTGCATGTTACTCCTCACTAAAAAGGAAAGAGCCAGCCAGGAATGGTGGCATATGCCTTTAGTCACACAGCATTAAGGAGGCAGGTAGATCTCTGAGTTCAAGGCCAGTCTGGTCTACAGAATGAGTTCCACAACAGCTATGGTGGTTTGAAAGAAAATGACCTCCAAGGGGAGTGGCACTATTAGGAGATGTGACCTTGTTGGAGGAAACGTGTCACTGTGGGGGGAAGGTATTGAGATCTTTTTTGCTCAAGCTTCCCTCAGTGTGACAGTCAACTTCCTGTTGCCTACAAGATGTAGAACTCTCAGCCTCAGCACATCTGCCTGCATGCTGAACCTCTGGAAATGTGAGATACCCTCAATTAAATGTTTTCTTTATGAGTTGCTATGGTCATAGTGTCTATTCACAGTAATAATAAACTCAAACTAAGACAATAGCCAAGCCTACACAGAGAAATCCTGTTTCAAAATACCAAAAAAAAAAAAAAAAAAAAAAAAATATGGAATAAAGAACTAACGACAGGCGCTGATTTGAAGAGGCTATATTCTGTTTTGCGCCATCTGTAGACCTAAAATAGACAGAAAAAAGTGCCAAGCATGGCAGCACACACTTGTCCCCTGTTCCTGAGAGGCTAAGGCCAGTTTGGCAATAGTGAGACCCTATCTGAAAAGGAGGAAAAAAGAAAATTCAGGGCCCCCAGGCACCAGGGAAGGGAGGGGCCTAGGTGTAGCACAAAGTACTTTCAAGGCAATGAAAACCCTCTCCATCATAACTGGCAGTCCAAGTGCACAGGATGTACAACAGCAAGAGTAACCCAAGAGAGGGTCTACAAAGCAAGTTCCAAGACAGCCAGGAGTACACAGAGAAACCCTGTCTCTTAAAAAATAGTAATAAAAATGAATAAATAAATAAAAAAGTAAACCTAATGTAAACTACAGACTCTGGGTGATGAACAATGATGTGTTACTACAGGTTAGCTAATTATAAGTTATGAATTATTCCTCACTCTGGCAAAGACACTAAGGAGACATGTGTGTACCTCTTAACTCTGTTGTGAATTAATGCTCAATATTAAAAACGTTAGGCACCAGCTTCCTATCACCATAAAGCAATTTGCTGATTTTGAAGACTACTATGAGACTAAACTTTATTTTCTCATTGTGAAAACATACTATCAAGAAAATAATAACACCAAAATGTAAAAACATTTTATAATCCTTAAGGACCTTCACTTTTTAAGGACAATGGTAGGAAGGGCAGAATGAACTGTTTATGTCAATCATAAATGCCTCCATCATAGTCTGAGAGGTTTCTACACACCGCACCAAAAAAACAAATAAACAACAACAACAACAAACCCAGCAGAATTACAGCTGGGAGCACAGGCCTTCTTAAACAACCAATGACTACCACACCTGCAGACATTGGCCACCTGTGGGCTGCATGCAGCCCATGAATGGAGCCACACAAAATAATCAGCATTGTGAGATTTTTTAAAAACATGTTTAGTAACTTGATTGCATGTAATTGTGGGCAGCAATACTATTGCCATGTGAAAAGGTTGGAAATATATCATTCAAATTAGCTTCCTTTTCAGTCACAAGAAGTCACACTATTGTGGTAAATAAGGATCAGGATAAACAAATAGGCCGAATAGATGTTTATTCAGGGAGAAATAACTTACAACCTAGACAGATGAACACCAGGAAATTCAACCAGATCCTCTCCTGTCCGAGTCACGCCAGAAAGAGAGCACCTTCCTGGCCCCCTCCGACCTCCTTCCACAGGTCACTTCTGCCCATGGCTCCACCCCCCAATGGGCGTGGTCAGTGCCACAGAAGGACTATCTCACTACATCACACGGTCTAGTACAACGTGCTTCACTGGCATGCTCACATACCGTCACTCTTCCCATCCTGCTTCGGGTATGAGTTGTAGAACATCCCCTTCCCATCATGGGTCCAGGCCATACAGGTGAACTTGACTCTCTCGAGCACGTCAGGAAGCTCTTTGGCACCATCAACTTTCATGAACTTGATGGTCACCCAGTCTGAGCCACTGGCACTCAGACCATAGGCAAAGTATTCACCGTCTTCACTGAAGGCATAACCTAAGGGGCACAGGAGACAGTCATGTGTGACACACAACTCTTTATCTTGCCCACTGTGGTGACAATGGAAGAAATAGGAAACTAGTGGTGAGCAAACCTGGGCTCGGCCGAGGTCCTGAGGGAATCACCATTATGATGACAAGGGCCCTTAAACTCCTGAGGTCATACTTCCTTCCTTGATAAAATGTAGCCTTGGGTTATATGCCCATTAATATATTCTGACATTTTTACAGTTCAATGGATAGCTCAGTTAAAAGCAGAGCTCATCTGGACATGCAGCATATTTTATTTATATTCTAAAGGGAATAAGTAGGGGAAATCTGCCTTTATAGTAATGGCATAGCACGTAATAGAATTAAATCATAGCCATTAAGTAACTTTTGGGATCAACTCCAAAGCATTTGAGATCACACTTTACAGCATCATTTTCGGAGCATTACTGGCACTCAAAGATTATACCCGCACCATGACATCACAGGCCCAGGTCAATAGAGCCTGAAGGTCTGCAAGGATGTATCATAGTGTGCACAGTCCAAAAGAAACAGAAGACACCTGTCTGTGGATTTCCATGCCAGGTCCAAGTCCTTGGGGACCCAGCAATGCTCGACCCTGTGAAAGTTTCTTGATAAACAGTCTTGTTTTATGTTGGCGTTTACAGTTATATTATCAAGCTATCCTGGTAGAATAAGATTCACATAGCAATCATTTCCCAGGAAGCTTGCTAAATTTTACTGGGGATCGAAAATTTATAGGAGGTATAATTATTACCGTAGAACTTCAATTAGTAAGAAATTACTTTAAAATGCACTAACATGCTTATTGAAAAAAAAATTCAGGTAAAAATGAAAAAAACATTATTTTAATTAAAAGCATATGTAGGTACTCATATGCCAGGTATCAGGCCTAATTCACCTTTGCATCAATTATGACCTTGTTTGCAGTGGACACCTAAAGAAACCACTGCACTGCATCACATGGATGAGAGGTATTAGGACTCAGCCCCCCTAGATGGGATGCAAGACAAACCGTAATGAAAACTATATGGATTCTTATGCAGGACACATGACTACCTTAGAACTATAGCATTAAATTAATTCTAAACCACAGGCTCAGATTTATGAAAATACTAAAATACTCTGATCAAGATAGCTGGTACCCTATTTCCAGTACAGTTACACACTAAGTCTATTTGGGAGGGGTGAAGAGGGCCACCAAGTAACAGAGGCACAGCTAGAAAGGGCAAGAAATGCCTGTATAAAGGTCATTGTATGGATTAAATGTAATGGATCTGCTATTCCCCTCCTACTGAGCATCAGGCACCACTGTTCCAACTTCACAATTCTAGAGTCATACCTGTGCTGTGCTTCGGCATAGAATGGACAGCATAGGAAAGATGCTGAGTTGAGCCCCCTCATTAGGAACAGCTGGTGTGTTAAGAGGTAATTTAAAATTGTAATTACTAAACCACAGAACTTGAGAATTACCTACTTCTTCCTTATCCTAAAACTGCTATAGCACAAATCAAGGTTTGTTATCTTCTCTATGGCTGTGGAGGAGGCTACACTGGGGGCATAGTTAATGCTGACACAGAGTGCCTGCGGGCAAGATGCACTTAGACTCAGATTGTATGATGCTATGGCATCTTCAGGGTCAGGGTACCAAGCAGTTCAATTCCACAAGACTGAGGGTTTTTGCTTTTAATCCTAACAAACTGTCAACTGCCTAGGTTTTAATAATCTGATCAGCCTCCCTCATTTATGGCAGGGACATTCCTTGCACAGCTGAAGTTTCTTGCAAGAGGGCTGAAGTATTTCTAGTCAAATAGGTCTCAGATGTTATGGGAAATGACGATATTTCAACATCCCTGAAGTTAATTTGAGTCTAGTGACTTATTCTCCAGTTCTGTTTCATGCCACCAGAGTGAGAAAGATGAATGTAACTATTCATGTGTTCTAAATCAGTGTGCAAAGTTAGCTTTCCTAATATTGTGTATGCATCTGTTCTACAATATGGTCTGCCTGGAATCTCAAGACTTCAGGGCTCCAAGTGACACTGCAAGGACTCCTGTGGTCCTGGTGTGCAGTGCTTACCTCGGAGTGCTACTGTGCCATCATCCGACAGAGTGTTGGGATCGAGGAACACCCTGGCTTCCCCCTCTAAGGAGTCTTGCACATATAATACACGCTGGTTCTGCAAACCTGTATTGTAAAAATAAAAATACCTGGGGACAGAAATTCCCTGTATTTAGCTGTGGTATTTTCTATTTGTGGAGAAGATCAAACACATGAAGAAGCAAATTTCATAACCAGACTATACATAGAAAGAAATCGCTGCTATACAGCTGAGACAGGGACAGGAGGGTTAGATAAAATCCCCTTGGCTCCTACTTGACAGTTTGCTATTTAACTGCTTTCTTCCAGGATGCAAATAATTTATTCCTGTTTGGTATGTGAGCTAGAGACAAATGAAGACCAATTTGCTAAAAATAATGCTGGCAGTCACATAACACAGTGACTATCTCTTCTAAATGAGGAAAGAAGCAGATTTTCTACTGTAAAGTTCTGGTCTGCTTCCACAGCCTGGCTGGCTGTCAGGTGTGAAGGCCATCATACTTCTACAAAGAGAAGGGCCTATGCATTCAGTCGCCTTGGGCCACAAAGTTACCACGCTCACCAAACAGCCAAACAAATGGGCAGGACTGTGTTCTAGTTACACTTACTTATAAAAACAGGTGGCAGGCAGGATTTGGCACACTGACTCTACTTTGTGGTATCTGTGTGAGATGGGGAGGGCCTAAGAAATTCCAGAGTAAATGTGTGGTAGTGCGCCCAAAGGACAAGAGACTATGTTCAACTACATGCGAGAAAGATGAACAGGCTCCACTTTGTGGCCCATTCTTGGATAGAAATGCACATATAATAAACTCTTCTCAAGTCTATAAGCCGAAGATAACATTAGGTAGCAACTAATCTACCTGGCTGTTTATGAGATACAGGCTCACCTACTCACCACAGGAAGATCCCCCATAATCTGCTTTCTCAGGTTGTGCCACTGCCAAGTATCTTAAATAGCAGTTAACAGCACAAAAACTTATTCTCATGTTCAGACACAACAATTGCTTCCTTTTATAAACTGGCAAGTTAGCTCAAATATGTACTTCATTTGTTTGAGACATGGTCTCACTACCTAGCCCTGGCTGGTCTGGAACTCAAGTGCTGGGATTAAAGGTGTGTGCCACCACACCCGCCCTGTACTTGGCCATTTCAGCATTCAGGGGAGCTGTGGAGGTGGCTCGGTGGGTAAAGTGCTTATTTCATGAAGACCTGCGCTGGGCTGTTCAAGAGGGACATAAAAGCTAGGCACTGCGGTTCATGCCATAACCCAGCACTGGCAACCCCAGGTTCTTAGATGAACCCTGACTCAAACAGTAGTGTAGAGGCGGGCAGTTGTGGTGAACGCCTTTATTCCCAGCACTCAGGATACAGAGGCAGGTGGATCTCTATGAGTTTGAGGCCAGTCTGGTCTACACAGTGAATTCTAGGATAGCCAGAACTATGTACAGAGACCCTGTCTTAATAAAAAAAAAAAAAGGGGGGGGGGAGGTAAAAAGCAACAGAGGAAGAAACCTAATGTCTACCTCTGGTGTGTGCACATCCCCTCCTCCTTCTCTCTCTCTCTCTCTCTCTCTCTCTCTCTCTCTCTCTCTCTCTAAGAAAACACAAGCTGGAGAGTGAAAAGAAAAGGAATACAAGCAACCTCACATACCGCTTTCCTTTCTTGAAGTGGCAGCTGTACTTGGGGTAGTCGTACAGCTCAGTCATTCTCTCCTTGTACAGCCCTCTGATGGGGCACTGCTCCAGGAACGGCACTGTGATCTTGTTCTGTGCCTCCACGAAAGCCTGCAGAGAAGTACGAAGGACAAAAGGAAAATCAAATGTAAAATGTCTCATGGGAAGCATCATCCTTTAGCACATATCAACAAAAGCGTATTTTTGAAGGTGTGATGGCTCATGCCTACAACCCAGTCAGGAGGCTGAGGCAGGAGGAACAGTGAGCCATGTCCCCAGCCAGAGAAGATTCTTTCCTGAGGCCAACTTTTATATAAGAAAGCTGAATCCTGAAGTGGTTTGGAAAGCTATCCAACATATACAACTAGGGAGTGGAGCTGGTTTCTAAATCTATGCTCTACATAAACACACTGTACCACACAGCTCAGTCATATCCTATTAATAATATATATTTACTTATAAAGTCTCAGTGGTTCAGCTTCAAGCCCCCAGGTCAAATTTAGGAGAAAATACCTAGGCACTATTTCAATGGCTTTGCTTTCTCACATTATCTAAAACCTACCACTATGTCAGCTCCAATCAGAGAATTTCACTAACATATGCAATTAAAAACTATTTAGAATTTTGAAAAATGGAAGTGGCACTGAGTAAGGATGTCAACAATAATGGTTTATTAAAAAAAAAAAAAAAAGGAAGAGGGCTGCAGGAAGACAGGAGACCTTGGGGATGAGGCAGGAGAATGGCCTCATTCCTACACTCAATCGTACCCTGCAATGCAGTTTTAGCTAGCATATACTGATTGTACAGAATATTGGGTTTCATTGTGGCTTCTTCAAACATGCATATACTGCACTTTGAAGTGGTCACTGAACCCCATTACCCTCCTGTCTGCATTTCCCTAGGCGGTTTACAACACTGTAAAAATTTTAGCCCTGTGATTTATATCTGGGTGTTGTCAGAAATGAAGCAGGGTTTCATCAGATGTCTACAGACACATGGCGGGAGGGGGAATAACTGAGCATGTGATGAGTGGCATCACCTTCAGTCCATTTCCGGATACAGCTTAAGCTACTGGGGCCCATCCAGGATCCAGGTGCTACTTCATGTGGACAGGTAAGTCTGGGTTCCCCCTACTGCGATTTCATGCTGGGAGAAGCAGTGCCAAAACTAATACTGACTACATGTAGTTGAGACTGAGATTGCTTTTATACTAACAACAGAAACAGTGAGGCATTCTGGATGTGGAGATGAAGGAGAAGGGATGCATGGCCTGAGCCACCTGTGAGATTTTCTGTCATCCATGTTGTTGCTGGGGACGGACACAAAACAAGCATTAGAACTGTGCAGTATTCAGCTCCCAGAACTCCCAGAGAGCGCCCAGTGGAGCAAGGCCACTGCTCAAAGCACCAGCTACAGACCAGGGCTCGTCCCTGACTGCTGGCAACTAGCTGGCTCACTGAAAGACAGGGGCTAAAACTAAAAATGTTGACATCTTTGATGCACTGTGACACAGTCAACCCTGCTTTGGAAATGTACAAACAAGACAACTGTCCTAGAGCTCACAAAACACAAAATAATGCATTAACTGTATCAGGTGGCCAGGCAAGGAAGCTCTTGGTGAAGGAGGGAATGTCCTAGCCTGAGGCGGAGAGCTGGAGAGAGTGGCCAGGCCAGGCAAGACAGAGCAGAGGTGTGGCAAAGGCAACATTAGGTGAGTGGCCCTGGCAACAGAAGAACTTGACAGGTATGAGGAAGAGAAAGGCCAGCAGGTACCAACTGGGGCTGGAGGACCTGGTGTCTGGGAAGCAAATCTAAAGGTTTAGCCTTTTATTCAAAAGCAAATGAGCCACGAGTGGGCAAGGATATGAAAAATGTGGTTATCCTATTAAAAGATTGCCCTACTTTGGTAGAGAGCATCCTATGGGACTGCAAAAGTGGGGAGAACACCAGTCGGGAGACTGAGGCAATGGTCCAGGTTAGACTCAAGCCAAGTGGAGCAGCTGGACTCTGTGGCCGAGGCCTGGCAGTAGAAACAGAGTGGACACAGTATACATTAGTCTGCAACTTTTCAGAGGGCCTTGCCAATTATATTCAAAGAAAGCAAACAGCAAGCTAGAGGATCTGGCTGATGGCCCACTTCCCACCAGGGCCGCTCTACTCTGTGCATCCAGGATACACTCTGGTGGCCCTGGGGTCCTGGGAATCACTGCTTAACAGACTGCTGTGATCTTGTTCCCCTTTGCCCCACACACCCATGACCACAACAGGTGCTCCCCACTGTGAATGCACCCTGGCTGTCCTCACACGAAAGTGTCATGCAAAGTTACCCCAGGCAGAATCATGCTGCAAGGGATTTTATATTCAGTCCAGGCTTGCCATCTCCCACCCACATATGTCAATTACTTTAAATAGAGCAATATTTAAAGGCTGATGTCTTCCAAGTCAAATGTTGAGATGTAAAACCCAACAGTGTTCAAATGCTAAAGCCAAGCTCTTCATCACCCTGACTTCATGGGAGTGGGGGAGCTTTCCCACGATGTCCAGTTCTTTCACTCTCTTAATTACATATATTATATGTTGTACATATATAATAGTTCTGGATTCTTGATCTAAGACTAAGAACAAGTTTAGGAGAAGTTAGGAGTGAAAATAAGAGGAAAACTGGGAAGACCTGACCTAGAGAAGGGAGTTCAAACCTCCGCTTCTCAAGGGGTTTCAGCCACCAAAGTAACAAGCAGAATGTGACACATAGTTCCTTAACATATGCAGATGAGCCTCTGAAGGGTTTTTATCTTCATCTGCAGATGAATACATTTGTTTACTCAAAGCCAAGAAACTCTTCATATCTTACTTTCTTTGTTGCTAGGATATTTAAAGTGCAGCAGAGGCACACAAGTCAGATTGAAGGTTGGCCTGTGCTACGCAAGACACCATGGAAGAGATGGGTGACAGAGGTGGGAACAGAGAAGCTTGAGCTGCACAAGATGGTTAGGCTCTAGACATCTGCTGCACACACTGTGACTACATTAGTGCTCAATAGGCACATACACTCTTGTCTGAGATATAACTTGTGATATGCATTCCTAACACACACAAAAAAAAAAAAAATAAGAAAATTGTGATTAGATAAGAGAGGCCATGTTTGGGAGCTGAAGACTCCATGACCCTCCTGCCTTCAAAAGGAATGTTTCAAGTTGTTCCCTGACACAGTGCACTTTCCTAAACAAAATAATCAAGACTGACAGTAAGAGCCAGGCACCATCTCATGTAGACAAAGAATCTAAAGAGGTCATCAAGTAAGAATAGTGCTTCTTTCTACTTGCCACAGACTAGAGTAATTCCTGCTGCATAAACAGTCAGCCCTCCATACCCTCACTGGGACTCAACTAATCACAGATCAAAAGCATGTAGAAAAAACAATTGAATCTTCACTAGACACAACAGATTTCTTCCCTCCCCTTAAACAATACAACAAACACAGTTCTGTACTAGTTCTTGTAGGTTATCTAGTGATGCTGAAGTGCACAGGTCATGCATAGTCACAAACCAATTTACATTAGGAGCCTGAGCATTCTAAGGTTCTGGTGTTCGTGGAAGTTCTTGGACTCAATCCCCTGCAGATGCCCAGTGATTAACATGATTAGCAAGTAAACCAGCTCTGGAGGAAGTGTCTGATGTCCAACAAGGCCTGGCAGGAAACTACAATCCAGCCAAAGTCAAAGTTGAGTGTCCAGAAGGCCAGTGGGGACACATATTTGGATCCCTTCTACTTAGCAAGAATTCAACAGCACTTCTTCCAGGGAAAGGACACCCATAGACAAAAGTAGGACAAGGGATGTCAGAGCTCCCTCTAGAGGCCAAGAGACTCAGGACCTGAAGGGACCTGTGGTTGGCAGGCCACATGGGGTCTCCTAGAAGCCCAGCCAGGTCTCCCTCTGTTCCTTAAACAGCTTGTATTCTCATTGAGGCTAGTTACTGTCAATCAAGGGGCAAGGAAAGAGAAACCCTCATTTGACTATAGAGTCAAGCACCATTCATCACCTATCAAAGCTAAAATTTTAACCTCATTCGGGTCTGATGTTCTTTCTGACCAAAAGTCTGGTAAAAAAAAAAAAATTTAAAATTCAATCCTGAATCCAACATACTGTAAGTATATCTGGAAAATAAAAACAAGTCATGGAGCAGGAGATTTTTGTGCAAGTGGAGACCTGGGCTGGGAATCACTGGGATTTGACTCTTGGCTCTGACCAGTCCATTTAGCTGAGTAGTGAGCTGTAGGCTGAGTAAGAGATCATGAGAAGTGGCCAGAAAGGAGGGAGGAAGGGAAGGGGAGAGAGGGAGGGAGGGAGGGAGAGAGAGAGAATATTGTAAGTTAAAGTTAATGAGATGTGTCCAGTGTTTCTCATAGATACCTTTGGGAAAGAAAGCCCGACCCCACTGGCCAACCAGAGTATCTACTCCTCAAATCCAGAGCCAGCACAAAATTCCCACTCTCCTGCACACACTGTGATTTACAAAGATGCCACATATAAAAGGAGGGATGGAGCTACAGGGCTGGCAAGTGGTCCCACAGAAACCTAAGGTGACATTACTTCCTTTAATCACACCTTAGCATCCCTGGTGTCAGTATTCCTGGGCTTCCTAGATCGAAAAACCAGGGAGGGAACTGTGATTTCTACCAAAGGCAGACATTCATTCTCTGTACAAGTGTCTCTGGGTGTCATCCACGCCCGAGGGCTATTCCCCATAAACACTGCAAAGGGGAACAGCAAATGTAGGGGAAATAAAGAGGTTGGGAGACACAGAAACCTTCACATTAGACTTGTTAGTTCTTTTTCCTGCGAGTGACAGGGACCTCCTACACATTAAGCACACATGACCACTGAGTTACACATCTGGCTACAGTTGTTACCTGATGCCAGCATCTCACAGAAGAACCACAGACCATCAAAATCAAACTTGAGTAAATGCCTACAGGGACAACAGAAATGATCTATGCTAATCAATGTCTTTTAAACATCTTGCCAGCTTTTCTACCATGGAATTTTCTCTGATTGTAACCAAATGGGACTAAAGTCTTAGCTGCCACTAAAGATGTAACTCAATGTCCC